GTCACCGAACGAACAAGATCGAAGACATAAATAGACAAAATGAGTTTTCCCCACAGGGTGCCTGGGCTCTCCCTTACAGACAGGGTGAGAAGCTCCGTTGTCCAGGAGGGGCCCGGAGTAGATCCAATAATGCCTCCACATCGAGAGGAGCCAGTTGAGGTAGCTCGGGCATCTGGTTAGGATGCCTCCTCGGCGCCTCCCTGGTGAGGATTTCTGGGCAGGTCCAACCAAGAGGAGACCCAAAGGAAGACCCAGGACATGCTGGAAGGACTATGTTTCACGGCTGGCCAGGGAACACCTTAGGATTCCCCTGGAGGAGCTGGCCCAAGTGGCTGGGGAGAGGGAAGTCTGGGCATCTCTGTTTAGGTGACCCAACCCCGGATAAGCAAATGAATGAATGGGTGGATTTAATGAAAGGATGGATGGGTTTAATGGATGAATGGATGAATTTAATTAAAGGATGGATGGGTTGAATGGATGAATGGGTGGATGAATTTCAATGAATGGACGGATGGACAGACAGTTTTAATGGATGCTTGTTTACCTTATAGTTAAAACGGTGAAGACTTGGTAGCTATGATGATAACTTCATTTTATTTTATTTAAAAGTATTTTAATAAATTATGGTAAATTATATGCTGTATTTAAACACTGCATATATCAAAAAATAGATGAACTTCAAAAATTTAGAATTCAATCAGGAATGGTGTGCAACAAAATTTGTAAGCAGCAATAAAAAATACCTCCAAGAAAAGACCTCCAATGAAATACTAAACTGGTGAAAAGGCCACGCCCCCTTTGGAGCTCTACAGCTAGGTAGGCGTTACAGTAGAGCCATGAGTACATTAACTTGCAGAAATGTTAACTTTATTTCCTGAAATGACATTTTGATATCACTTACAAGTTTTATCATTTTAGTCAATTTTCCCCACAGAACCATTTTTATTCCCATAACCTGTTTACTACTACATACACAAAAAAACACCAGAACTGTTTCCTTCTACCTGCTGTCTCTGGCACACTACTCTATGAGCTGATGTCAATTAGTTAACAGCAGTACTTCCATAGAGTTCAATAATCTGACTTTTCTGCTCCAAGCCGAAAGTGGAAGATAGTTTTAATATTTCCTACAAGAAACAGATCAATTCCTAACACTCGTAATTTCATAAATGAATTGATGCAACTTTAAGTTTTTACATAGCAACAGTTTGAGGTTTACTTTTGATGCAGAATAAGCTTGCTTTTAGCTCTGTTTTTCTAACTTAGTTTTTATTGTCTGTAAAATAAATCAGCTTTTTTTATCCACAAGCAGGAAAAATCAGTACAAACATGCAGCAGTTAGAAAAGGACGGTCATTTAAAAACAACATTGTAATACAGCGGAATGAAAAATGATGAAAGAATCTCAGTGCAGAAGAAGCTAGATGTATTTAGGTGCTGAAAGTGAGTGGGCAGCTGGGATGACGGAGTTTGCTTTTCTCTCACTATGAGGGTTAATGTTCGAGCAGAGTGAAGAAACAGAAACGTGGCAGAGCTGGCAACACTAAACTCTCTGACTTGTATCAAAACACGGCTTCAACAGATCAACATTAAGTCCAAAATACATGAAAAAGGTGCAAAAATTCTAGTAGTAGTCTAATAACTCACCTAATGCACTTTAAGTCATCTTTTAAGAGATAAACAGGTAACAAGTGCAGCCAAGCTAACAGGGTTTTATATAAGGTGTGTTGGCGAACGCGTGCTCTTCATCGTGATGCTGCAGAGCTTCGACTCCTCGGGCTGGAAACAGGAACAGCTTTCTCACCCTCCCACTCCTCCTCCTGCACTCCTACCATCATTTGCTGCTGACCTCTGGGGTCAACCAAACCCGAGCCTACATTTCTTTAGCTCCTTCTTCTCTGGAGTTGTTCTTCCTCCACCTCCACTTACAATATGTATGTTATCTGAATCATCGCACCAAACAGCCACACGTTGTTTTATTTTTATTCCTATGTGCTCGTGACTGGATGGGAAGGTGCACAGCTTGCAGCATCACATCAACAAATGGATGGGAATTTTCATAGTGAAGCTTCTTACCAGTTTATGTGTAAACAAAAGACAGAATTATCAAGCCAAGCTATTTGTTATCCTTCATATCGAAGAAACATAATTCAAGTCTGTCCTCCTGAACATACGGCTCTTTCCCAGGTTGTATAAGAAAAGACAAGATATTGTCCTTTTTGATTTGACCCAAAATCTGTTTGTTGTCACCAAAAACAAAATCTTTATTTAATAGGGACTTCAGTGCTCACAGCTTTTACAAGTCTTGGTTTCTTGTCGGGATCCAAAAGTAACTATGACTAGAAGCTAGTAAGATGATGAAAGGAAGGTAGACTTCTATAGGTTTGGGCGGTATTACCGTATTACCATATACAGCCAGTGTTAAAAAAATAGCAACGATGTCAGTTCCAATACATCATTAAAAAACTATGCACATAGGAGACAAAGATTAAAAGAAAATAACAATTACATTAAAAAAAAAGATAAATAAAAGTAATTTAATGATAAAGCGAATGTGTGGTTACATTTTCAGTTTACATAAATAGTTTTAAATGTTTTGTCCAACTTTTAGAGATGTTGAACTGGGCAGCAGTAGCTCAACAGGTTGATCAAGTTGTCCAGTAATCGGAAGGTTGCAGGTTCGATCCCGGCTCTGGACAGAGAATTCTGTTGTTGTGTCCTTGGGCAAGACACTTAACCCACGTTGCCTGCTGGTGGTGGTCGGAGGGACCGGTGGCGCCAGTGCTCGGCAGCCTCGCCTCTGTCAGTGCACCCCAGGGCAGCTGTGGCTACATCGTAGCTCATCCCCACCAGTGTATGAATGTGTGTGTGAATGGGTGAATGATACACTGTAGTGTAAAGCGCTTTGGAGTCCTTAGTCTGAGAGGCGCTATACAAGTGTGGGTCATTTATCATTTACATAAAGTTCATGAATGTAATGTCATCCCGTGACCGCTGTGGATGTGCAGAGAAAAAAATGGTTGCTTGCGCACCAACGGACTTGGTGTCTAAAAACAACACAACTTCTGCAGTGTGGGAGTATTCCGGTTCGAAGCAAACGTTAAAGGAGAGCTGGTAAACACTAAAAAGGTAATTTGTGCAAACATATTAATGTCAGCACAGGAGGGATCTGGAGCTGAAATAACAGCCTACTGTTTGGCGCCTGTTGTTAAAGGAGACGACAACACATTTTTCTGGTGTTGCCGTCTCTGCTGCCAGCCTTCTCCAGAGGTCGTGGCTAGCCCCAAAGTACCCGTATATTGGTGCCACAAGCTCATTGAAGCCAGTTTTCTGCAGTCGGTCCACAATGAGCTACGTTGAGGCTGGAAAAGATAAACAAGCTGGTATTTCAGGTGAAAATCTTTTTATAAACTGTGTTTTTTTATAGTTGTTTATATTATGTGTGTTATGTTGTTATTGTTTTTGTAATAGTGTTTGTTATTCCGTTTCTGAATGGTGAAGGTCCAAACCAACAGCTTGGTAATTCCACTTGAGGCTTACGTCATCATTTTTAATTTGGTCCTGGTAATACCGAAATAACGTAATAATAAATAAAAAATGTGGATACCGCCCAAGCCCAACTTCAACAGCTACATAACGGGAGACAACGGGAAAAATTTATCTATCCCTGCCAGTGGACATACACTCCCAGGCATTTGTTCAAGGTGTTCCCATACCAAAGGCGGTCTATGACATCTGCTCTGGGATCCCTCCCAATGGTGTTGTCTCACAGAGCGCCATAAAAACTGAGCTTCTTCTGGTCTTTGACTGCCACACTTTACAACACACCGCTGCTTTCATCCTCTGAGTGGATTAAATTATGATATGCTTTGACTGAATAAATGCTTTTAATGTTATTGTTACTGTGGACACGTTTTGGCGATGATCAGTGACATCACTCACTGCAGAAACAGTCCATATATGCTGACCTATGTGCAAAACTCCCAAAAGAGCTGAATTTGAATGGAGACACAACAGCTGAGACGACCGAGACATATCTCCCGGTCTAATTCTCCCTCCCAGAATTTACCCTGAAGTTCCGGCGATGGAAACACACCTAATGCACTAGACTGTTTGGTGGAGTTTAAAGGCTCATCCATTGGTAACGGGAACCATGTTGCCTCCCCTCTTTTGCTGATGATTTCAATTCAATTCAAAATTACTTTATTAATCCCAGAGGGAAATTGATTGCTGTAGTAGCTCAGTGCTCAGTAGCTGCAACACTTCAGGTTACTTCAGGGGCTTCTGATGGCCATTTTGTGGTTGCTTTAGTCAGCGTGGCCTAAGTCTGTCTAGTTGCCTCCCATTTATATTTTTCAGCATTTTTGTTTACTGGGATGGCGCATCCTCTCCTGCAGCACCAAGGCCCCAAATCAAAAATCAGGACTGCAAATTAGGAAGGCTTTGGGGGAAACTTGAAACCAAGGACAACTGCCGCTGCTGCTGGTAAATATCAACTTTCACCAGGTGGATTTACAAAAACACATGATGCATCTATTTAAAAATAAACAAATACATGAATCACAGGCATCAGTGAAGAGCATGTGGGTGTTTTGTTGCTACAACACTCAGGAGATGCTTAACAGCCACAAGAATCAAAATATTTTCCCTTAGAATGAACAAGCTGATCATCTCATCGCCTCGTAAAAGTGTTTAAATCAATTCTGACAGCATGGTGGAGGAAATCAGTGTGCTAATGATTGATCAGTCCATTGAGAGACATGGTCTCATCAAAACTCAGATGAGTAATTCAGGATAAATGATCAAAGACACTCTGGAGAAAGTCGGTAAAAATCTATAAACAATCTTTAATCACGTAAAGCCCAAGTGGCTAAAATCAATCAACACCACTCCGACACCGAAGGGCAAAGGTGAAAGTCTCTGTGACTCATTTTAATGTCACCAGAATCAGATTCAGGTGACGGCGTGTCATAATATATGTAGAAGATGTTCTTCACTCACCCTGGGCTGCCAGTTTTCATACTGCTTCTGCAGGTTCGCCCCGATGGTCTCCAGGGCTTTCTGTGGACTCATCGACAGAGGATCTGCAAAAAAAAAACAACAACAAACAAAGAATAAAAGCAGGCAGCATCCTCTCCCCCAAACACACAAAACGCTTTCCAACCCGAGCCAAACAAGGCCCGATCTGAAGCTGACAGAAGCAAGCAGACAGGCTAGAGAAGTTTACCGTTTCGGCATCAGAAAAACCTTTCCTTTTAAAGTCAGGGAATCTCAGCGTAAAACACGGATGAGGACGAATAAACACAGGATGAAAAGCAACCGAATAAAGATTACAGAAACTGTTCTCGTCAGACGGGGAAAACACGCTTTTAATCAATTTAGCTCCTCATCAAGAAGTTGGGTTTGATGAGTCTTGTAATAAATTTTAATTAAACTCTTTAAGAGAATGTTATTGACAAAGTTTCTTCATAAATTAAAAGTAAACATTAATTACAGTGTTTCTGTCTTGATTGATTCATAAAGCACTTCACACAGCAAAGCCCTCAATTATCCTTTTTGTCTTCATTGGATATAAGTTTTTTTTTTTTTCCTTATAAAAATCTTTATTACACCTTCTTAAAAGTAGATCTGAGCTCTTCTGTTCAGTTTTGGGAGTGAGATTAAATTCAGAAGGTCACCTCTGCCCTTGCTATTTAATATTCACTGATGTTATTTCAGAAAGCACGTGTTGCGTCTCCACGGTGACGGCGTTCTCAGAACCTTTCAGAGAACGTTTCAGAAACTTTAAGAGAAGCCCTCCGGCCTTCGTGTGCTTTCCTGACTTAACAGCCAAGTCTCGGGGGATCCAAACAACGGTTTTAATGTTCCCAGTCAGCGCAGACGGATCGTTTGTCTTTGTGTAGGTGTCGCGTCGTGTAGTTTTTGATAGGGGCACGTCACATCTTCCTGATATGAAAGAGGGCTCATATGAACCCAGCTCCGCTGAGAAAGACTGGGAACATCCCTGAAACACCGCAGCTCAAATCTAATGTCGAGTTAAGGCTGAGCAGGCTTAAATTTTTTATTTCTACACATTTTCATCAACAATTGAAGCAGATTTTAGCTAATGTAGTTTGGTTTTAAGCTAACTGCTGTTGAGTACCACCGATGTGTTTGGTTCTGTTAGTCCATGCCTCATCAGAGACTGTAGAGAGAGGAAGGAGGTCAGAACCAGGAAGCCACCACGCACATCCACCACTCCACTCAAAGCATCTCAATATTTAATGAGGGACACTGTTGTCCAGTTTCCGGGCCAGTTATCTACAACGTCCTAATGGACAACTTATTTTCACACAATCTGTCTCATTTCAGCTCCAAGTGCAGGGATCAGATAGCAGAAAGAAAACCAAGGTCATGTAAAAAATAAACATGCACAGCTGAAATTCAGCAAGAAATAAATCATTTTCAGTTCTATTCGGTTTATTTATGTAGCGCCAAATCACTACAAGAATCGTCTCAAAGCACTTGACAAAGTAAATATTCCAATTGAGTTCAGTTCATTAAGCCAATCAGTAAAACGTTTCTTATCTAAGGAACCCAACAGATTGCATCGAGTCACTGACAGACAGACAGACAGACAGACAGACAGACAGACAGAGAGAGAGAGAGAGAGAGAGAGAGAGAGAGAGAGAGAGAGAGTAAGAGAGAGAGTGAGAGAGAGAGAGAGAGAGAGAGAGAGAGAGAGTGAGAGAGAGTGTGTGTAAGAGAGAGAGAGAGAGAGAGAGAGAGAGAGAGAGTGAGAGAGAGAGTGTGTGTAAAGAGAGAGAGAGAGAGAGAGAGAGAGAGAGAGAGAGAGAGAGAGAGAGAGTGAGAGAGAGAGAGAGAGAGAGAAGTGAGAGAGAGAGAGAGAGAGAGTGAGAGAGAGAGTGTGTAAGAGAGAGAGAGAGAGAGAGAGAGTGTGTGTGTAAGAGAGAGAGAGAGAGAGAGAGAGAGAGAGAGAGTGAGAGAGAGAGAGAGTGAGAGAGTGAGAGAGAGAGAGTGAGAGAGAGAGTGTGTGAAGAGAGAGAGAGAGAGAGAGAGAGAGAGTGAGAGAGAGTGTGTGTAAGAGAGAGAGAGAGAGAGAGTGTGTGTAAGAGAGAGAGAAGAGAGAGAGAGAGAGAGAGAGAGAGAGAGAGAGAGTGAGAGAGAGAGAGAGTGAGAGAGAGAGAGAGAGAGAGAGTAGAGAGAGCGCGCGGCGGCGAGTGCGCGCGCGTGCGTGTAAGAGAGAGAGTGAGAGAGGAGCGTGAGATAGAAGAGATGAGAAGAGAGAGAGAGAGAGAGAGAGAGAGAGAGAGAGAGAGAGAGAGAGAGATGAGAGAGAGAAGAGAGTGAGAGAGAGAAGAGAGAGTAGAGAGAGAGGAGAGAGAGAGTGTGTAAGAGAGAGAGTGTGTGTCTGAGAGGAGAGAGAGACTCATCTGCTATATTTATACCTCTCTCTCTGAGAGTGTAAGAGAGAGAGTGTAAGAGAGAGAGAGACAGGCACGCTTACCATTTATTCCAAATAATGTTTCTATGGCTGGATACATTGTGATTTCTTAGTACATTCTATTTAGAAAGAGATCATCTTCCAACTAGTAAACAAAAAGCCTCGCAGTTCTATAGAATCATTAACTCTCTCCTCAGTGATGATTCCAACCAGTTAAAAATGATCTGGCAGAAAGACCTTGGCATAATGTTCGATGATGATATATGGAAAACAATTGTTGTTAACTGTGGTAAACACGTAAGAGAGGTGAGGAGTAAACTCACGCAATATAATGTGCTACACAGATATTATTATACACCATCTAGACTGTTTAGAATGAAGCTAGATGATGACGATTCATGTTGGAAATGCAAAACGAGTATTGGGACGTTCACGCATTGTATTTGGGAATGTGCTCCTATCAGATGTTCTGGACCCGTATTGTCAAGATCTTAAGTAATTGGTGTGGAACAGACATCCCTTTTAACCCAGAACTGTGCTTATTGGGAGATAAATCTCAGTTTCCTAATGTAAATAAGTGTAATTTTTTAATCATCTCAGTGGGGTTAACAACAGCCTGTCGAGTCATTTTAAGACACTGGAAAGCAGTAGAATCTCCAGAGGTTAAGGAATGGGTCTGTGCAATGGCCGAATCTGCATCATATGAATGTATGCTCAGTAGACTGAGTGAAGACAACAGAGAGGGAACTTCTCACTGGGATGGATTCTGGAACTTTTATAAAGACAGACAAAGGCCTTGGGTGAAATCAAGCATGTTATGTGACTGCTGTTGTTCCGACATTAAGTGTCTGCAGGAGTTATATGAATGGGACTTGTATCCAAAATCAACTGTTAAAACTGTATGTTTAGTCCCTCCATGTTTAGTATCTATTGAGACTGCTATGTACCAGCCCCTAAAAGAAAGTTCAATAAAAACTTGAATTTCAAAAAAAGAAAGAGATCATCTTTATTGTCATTGTCTGAGTGAATCAATAATTAATTCAACAGATGAACTAGTAGTAGCACCTTAAAGTTAAAGTCCCCACTAGTTGTCAAACACACTGATGTGTGTGCGAAATTTGTTCTCCGCATTTGACCCATCCCCTGGGGGAGCAGTGAGCTGCAGACACAGCCGCGCTCGGGAACCATTTGGTGGTTTAACCCCCCAATCCAACCCCTTAATGCTGAGTGTCAAGCAGGGAGGCATTGGGTCCCATTTTTTCAAAGTCTTTGGTATGACCCGACCAGGAATCGAACCCTGATCTCCGAGTCTCAGGGCGGACGCTCTACCACTAGGCCACTGAGATAAATATATATTTTTTATGGCATATAGGGAATCCTAAATGCAAATTGTGCAGTGGTTTAATCTTTCAAAAACTGCAGTTTGTGGCCTTTTTCACGGTTTTGGAATATATTTCTGCTTTAATTAGAACCAAGTTCAGCTCTTATTATTTATGCATTTTAAAATGTAAAGTCTGAACACGAAATATGTCCACATGTTCTGAGCTTCTATTAGATGATAACGAAATGGAAATAATAAAAAAGGACTAATTTCTGTCACGAGTGAATTTAGCTGCTTGTCTTTTCTTCCAGCTCATCGTCAGCCAGAGTGCTTCGTATTCTGATGGGTTGACCAAACACAGAACGGATCTAACGCTGATTCAAAGGGTGAGAACGTCTTTTTGGAGAGACTGTGGGGTACATCAGTTACTGCAGTATTCTGAAAGGACTACTTTCTGGTTTTGTTTTGGGTCTGTGTGTATTCACTCACCTATCCAGCACTCCAGGCGGGCGCACGGGGGACGTCTTGACCACATCGGGAGGATCGACTCCAACGTTGAGGCACAACACCAGAGCTACGCTCACGGTCTTCATCTGAGGGAAACAGAGACATTTTCTGAATAAAGTTCTGGATAGTTTTACTTTATTCACGAGCCATGCTATTTCAGAAACTGGCCTTGAACTTGTTTGTAACTGGGTGATGTTTCTGGTAATCCACGATCCTGCTACTGAAAACTCATGCTTAAGTTTAGAGGAACCGACAAGGTCCACAGCCTTTCACTGATCGGATCCAGACATCCTGTTAAAGGTGTGGGACACTTGCTTAATCAATACCTTTGCAGTGGTCCTTAGTTAGTAAGAATGAAAGACTTGCAGTGCACTATTTCCAGGGACTAGAAGTGATCCACATCACAGCTGAGCTTCAGGCAGCAGGTTGAAGTCTCATTTCCTGATAATTGGACATCTCGCCTCAAATTGGACAACAGCAGCACGACTCTACCACTGACTTGCAACGTTGATGCTTTATCTCCACAAATAACACAAGCATGGAGAGCTTCTCTGTGGTAGAGTTGCTAATGCTAACAGTTAGCTTCAACTAGCCGAGACATTCTCTGCTGTTTCCTGGATGCTAAATCAACAACAGCATTCCCCGTCGCGAGTCAAAAGGGTGAGTCCATGAACGTTCAGTGACAGTGTGACGTAGATCTGTCAGGCTTGTGTGTGTAGGACACTATTTTCATGTTCAGCCTGCAGGAAAAACTCAGAGTGACTGATTATAGTCAGAAATAAGATTCAAAAATAGTTTTTCAGTGTTCCACACCTCTACGGTTGGTGGTCTCCATTAGCAAATCAAACTCGGCTCAAACAGCAAACAATTATACGGGTTGAATGTCCCACTTTTAAGAATGCAGGACTCCATCTGATAACCTCCTTAGACACATAAACCTGATGTGTTGGTTATGACAACCTTTCCAGGTTGTGTTCCACATTCTTTAACTTAGATCCAGTGGGTACGGTCTGAAAGTCTGCTGTGGGCTCCTGGCGTCCTCATGGCTGAGCGGGGTTAGAATGGCAGCAGTTGTAAACTAATTAAGGTCCCTGCGCGTTCCCACCAGCTGAGTGAAAGGTCAGTGTGCTAGTGGAACTCAGCGGGGCTACATTCTGCGTGTACACATGCATCCTTACACACAGCGGCATAACACATTACATCACTTCATTCATTTCTACCTCATTTGTTCCCACTTTGCCCTTTTCCTCCTAACATGCTGGATGTCAAAACCCTTCCATGGGAAATGGAAAGTGGTGTTATCGGTCTATGGTGCTTAACTGTAGCTGCTTTATTAGAGTGAAAACAGCTGCAATAAAGATGTTAAACAACTTAAAGCATCATGTATAAGCCTTGGACAAACTTGTGGTCCTGGTGAACAACAAGACATGTTAATCGGTGCACACAAGGAGCATAAATACTGATGTTTAGTGTTTTTAATTACACTAGTGTAAGTTTAACATTTGTAGTTTTCTATTTAAAAAACCAAATCTGTTAGTTCAAAAATGTTCAGCTTAATTTTTGTTCAATATTAAATAAAGAAATCATCAGGAAAGCAGGAAGAAATGCAATTTCTAGTGATGTGACGTTCACGAATGAATCAAATCTTCTGAACTGGTTTTCAAAGTGAACAAGGAGAACCGAGTCCTTGTAGGGAGCCGTTCACCTCGTCACCCCACCCACACACACGTGCACGCACGCACACACACACACACACAGACTCCACGAGCGCTCACAGACAACGGAGAAACACGTTGCTCCCCCCACGGCTCAGCTGCGTTCAAAAGAGCCAGTCTTTTGAACGGCTCTTTGAGGTAAACGACCGACTAATGAACAGCTCCCTTTAAAGAGTCATGAATCCCATCACTAGTCATTTTCGTTTTTACATTTTGAACTTAAAGTAAAATAATTATGAATTTTGTGTTTTCATAACATTTAGCTTGTTCTTTATTTAAAAATATCCATCTTTATTCACCTTATGACAATTATTGTTTTAAATTGTTTAGAAAAAGGTTTAAAAATTCTTTACCAGGTTTTCTATTTTTTATATGCTTTGCACACCAAGTTTTGTCATACATAAACAGAAAATGTCTTTACCCCACATGCTTCAGATTAGAAATGTAGGAAGATATCGATACACTGAAAGATTGTGATGTTTTGTGTTATGATACCGAATCGATATTTCTAAGCAGTGTACGACCTTTTTACTGACAAATGACATGCAAACATTCTATATATTTCTTTTGTCTGGTGCTATTCAAATTCCAATTGCTAGGTGGCAGCAGTTTTTATCGCCTTCATCCTGACAGAAAAACAAGATCTCGCTATAAAACTGGATGCATCTTGGAAGCGTCTGGCCTGAGTTTTCCAATTAAATTAAATATTAAAAATTGCAAACACTGTCTGGATTTTAGTATCACAGTGTATCACATTGTCTCCTCTGTATTGTGATCTATATCGTATTGCCAGTTTCTTGCCAGTTCACAGCCTTACTCCTGATTATAGGGAGCCTAACCCCTTCTTTACACCGGAGCCGTCAGCAGCACGTTACTGCAGCAGCACGTCATAGCTGCTGATAGGAACCGCTGTGGTCAACAGAACCTTTTCCACCAGAGCCGTCAGCAGCGCGAGTCGGCCGCGTCTCAGGACCAGCATGTCGTGGCCCTTACGCGCCGGTTCTATTTTCTACGCGCGACGCCTCTGAAACGGGTCACGTTCAACATTTTTGGGGAAGGAAAGACAGGAAATCGGACGCGGAAACGGAGCGAAGCTCCCGAGATTTTCAGAATAAAGAAACGTACTGCCTTCCGCTTGCTTTGTGGGCAATTTCTGTTATTCTTAAAGAAAAGAGTCGGAGAGAGTTTTCCCAATCGGGACAGCGTGGTCTTTTATTTGTCTTCTCACATCTTAGGACAGCCCAAAGACCCCGACAAAAGAGTGGTTCCCCTTTTTATAGCTCACATCTCTTCTGTGGAAACTGTGGGTGGAGACTTCTGTCTGGGACCCAGCAACACTTTTGGAATCACATCAAGTATTTAGCAAGTCAGATAAGCTTTGAGCAATTCTACTGGAAGCAAGCAGAGACCAAAACAGGAAATTCCTTTGGAGCTGATGTTGGAACAGCACACGAACTCTAGCCAGAAAACACTTTCAACCTAAGAACTCAGCTTTAACTCAATACATTCTGTAGATGACCTCTTGACCTTTTTGGCGCCAACAGCTTTACTTTTAAAAAAAAGTTACTAACTGTGCGGCCCCGTGAGAAGTTATCACCTAGCTAGCGGTCTCCTTTGTTTTTCAGGTCCGTATTGGCGATTATAAAATGGACAGAACATAAAACACAAACCTTTTGGAGCCATGTTGTAGTTTTCTCCTGCTTGTTGTTGTGTTTACTGACGAAGTCACTCGTGTGACTTCGTGCTCTGTCAGTGACAGCTGCTCCCCTGCTGCTTTGCGTCTCGTGGGAAGGGCCAAGCAGCAGCATACGCGAGCAAGACGTGCTGCTGCAGTAACGTGCTGCTGACGGCTCCGGTGGAAAGAAGGGGTAAGTCACGACCATCTACTTCTGTGCCAAGGGTCCCCGGAAATAAGAAAAAATGAATGCAAGCCACTGGGGCTTTATAGATATTTTCTAATCCTGTTTGATATGTGCCAGGATTTCATATATGATATACATACATTTTAAAGACACATGCTAGGGCTGCACGATATTAGGAAAACCTGCGATATTCGATAGCAGTGCTTCTTCTAGCACTCACAGAGCACAGTCGCTTCTGCTTTGCTCCCTTATCTTATCTTTTTCCCAAGGCTCTTTTTGTCCTGTCTGCCTACAGCGCGCTTCTCTGCATTTTCTCTGGAAATCACTATTTTTCAGAAATGGATTTAATTAATTGGTCATTCAACGCAATTGATAAGATTTTTTCTATGATGAGAATGGAGAAGGGGGCTCGCACTTGCCCTCACAGGACACACGCAGCGGGATATATGCTCGATTCCTGGAAGAAGTGGAATGTCATCTGTCTCTCTCAGCTGTCCATTGAGGACGTCGAAGATGTGTGGATATTTGGCCTGATGATCACTGGATTTCTTCTGATTGGAGTGGGAGGATATCTGGTTTTCCGAAAAATTGGGATGACGGGAGCGATTGGAGGGCGACCCGCAACCATGGACGGCACCGTCCGGGCGGAGACCTCACAGACTGGGACGTTACTCGAGGTGAATCGCAAGCTGGATAATGTCTTAGCTGCGTTATCGGTGTTAGTGCGCAAAATGGATGTCATCTCGGAGAGGGTCACCGGACGGTGTGGAGATGTTTAATCACCGAATTGGCTTCACTGGAGGATTTGAATGATCAATACGGACTTTAAGGCAGAGAGGAAAATTATCTCTGCCTGACCCAAACAAAGTCCTGTTATCCAATCTGACGCCATAAGCAGCCTTGGAGTTGCGTGCAAAAACCCCCACGATGGAAGGAATGCAGACAAATGTTGTGAAAACCCTACCTACCTGCCTTTTTCTCCCTCCCTGAACTTTCCTCATGTAATCCCCTCTTCATCTATTGAAATGAGCGCCATTATGGCTGCTCTCGTGGTCTGCCTGTATCTGTCCTGTCTATATGTGTGTGTGTAATCTTGGTCAGGCTGTTCTGTGGAGTCAAGTTCCTATGCTTGGTTCACTGGAGTGCTGGCAATAAAATTCTCTCTGATTCTCTGATTCTGATTAATATTGCGATATCGATATTACTCACCATAAATGAACAAATACTAAAGTATGCAGTGTTGATGTCGTCTGGCGTGTGACGTCTGCTCTGGGTTCAAAGCAAACAAAAACTAATGCATGAATTCCATTACAACATAACATTTTTATTGCAAAAATAAGCAGCTGCACCTGCTACTGTATTAGCAGCAAAACAACAAACTGCATGCATGCAGTTTCTCAGTGACTTTAAAACATCACCTCCACCATAAAACTTTTTCTGATGCTCCAAATACAGAAAAACATCCCTTACCAGGGTTTTTTGAATAAATAAAATCAGAAAATAAGTTTA